TCCACAGACTCGTTTTACGAATCGCGACTTTTTCTCATAAATATACACGTGCGTGTATATTACAGAAGCCGAGGCAACAGTTGAATCGATTGGTACTGGCGACGAAGAAGACGAACGCTGGCGTCGTTCTCGTCGCGGCGGCGGTACTGTGCGCCGAAAGTCGAGAGTAACGCGACAACGTTCCTACGACGACGAAATAAAAACGACGAGTACAGTGCTGCCTGGCGGACTACTTTCTAGCGGAGGCGGAACTGTTTCCGGCGGCAGTGCTCATCCGGAATCGGGACTTCCACTGCCTGTCCAATTGTCAAGGAGAGCCTCGGCATACGATGTCTGCACAACGTCCGGCTCGGTGGCAGCCTTCAACAACATGGCGATTGTCGCGGCTCAACAAAGGGGCTCTGTTTCCGCGCAAGGTAACGAGCGAAGCTTGCGAAAAGCCACATTCGTTGCACAAGGCGCCAGCCCCAAGGTCTACATATCACGTGCATACACGAGTCACGATATACGGAATTCTGCTATTTGCCGTACTGGCTACCCGTCGCTTCAACATAAATTCTCCATCTTAGAACCGTTGGATCGTCGACGTACAATATCTGACGCTTCTTCTTAGGAATTGGCTCTTTAAAGAAATCTCAAGTAACAGGGATTGCCTTGGGCATAACTGCTTATAAAAGATATTATAAATTTAACACGATTAATCGTTTAGGCTCGCGAGAACCAGAAGAACGATCGATGTCGAGAAGACCATCTTTCCGAGCCACCAAGCCATCGGCGATGCCCTATGAAATGGATCCCGAGGAGGAAAAGATCGTCAGTCTGGATGCTGCTCCAAGTGATATGTCATCCAGCGCTTTGGCTCTCGGCGTAAATGCACCTACGGGCACCTCGACCTTTTCTCAGCACTCTCAACAGACAGCACTGGGTCCCGACGAAGACAGGCGTAACAGGCGACGAGGCTCTCAACTGTAAGTTCTCTCATCGATTTCCCAATACTTTTTAACGATCAAATCCCAAAAGCGCCGGCAACTTCAAGTGATTGGGAAAACCTGCTGAAGGACGACGGGCAGAGAGTCGATACTGGCAACTCATTCTTAAGTTGTGCGTTTGAACATTCAAGATGTCCTCTACCAGAGCTAACTCGAGTAGCACAATGCTCGAGCTTGGATCTGCCGACGTTTTTATAATACCCTTAAACGACAAAAACCAAGTGACCTGAGGATTGTAAAATAGTTTCTCTAATAATATTGGCGTATACTTGTGGCAATCTTCCTTTAAATTAATTTCGTGCTGATAGCCATCAAAACGACATAGTCTGTTCTACCTGTCTCGATTGTGATGCGTGACCCCCCACTCGTCAACTTTCCAGGCCTGATATCAACGCAATAAGAGCCCTACCGAATGTTCTCGGGAGTGCATCTGGCAGCGCAAAGGTCTCCGGAGGTGCGATGGCCACGGCTCTTGCCGGAAGGGTGGCCGTGGACGAGCGCGAGCTGCCTCGCCAGGGAAGTCTTGTTGATGGAGAAGGCATCAAGATAGTTATTCACGACGTCGACAGCGACCTTGGTAAGTACTTTTCGTGGCACAGGACGATAATAAATTGTCCTTTACTTATCTTTCCCATTGGGCGTTTACGCTCTCCGAGTAATTGAGTGATTGCACGAGCTGCACGTTCTCATTTCAAATAATGTACCTACTCTAAATGGACAATAGGCATCGAAAGAGCCCGCCATTACAGAAAGTAAGCGCTACGAAAAAGAAACGGTACGTACTCAGCCCAATTGCAGTCGTTAAGTACGATCGTAATGTTTTCTTTATTTTTTTTCTCGTCTCTATTATTCGTAGTTACTACTGGTTAAAGCTACTGTTCGGCTATTCTATGTGTGCACACGTAAATGTGGTAATAACGTTGGAAGCGAAGAAACCTTTAAAGCCATTAATTTTCTTCGATTCATATTAAATCGTCAAACTATTGATTTAGCCATCTCTCTTATATGATAAAATTAGGTTGTGCTTAGCTTGATTAATAATTCGTAACGCAAGATATTTCCATATTTCAGTAGGGCGTGTGAACGCCAAGAGGAGAGTGGTACTTCGTCGAGATCCTCTGATGGACAAGGGACATAGAGGTAAGCCCAGCTTTAAGATCCTTATTACCACGGAGAGGTACTCTTGAAAGTACTGTCCATTCACTCGCTGCAGTATTGCCAAATATGAAAAATTTATGAAACCTCAATCGCCGACAGATCAAATCATTGCGCATTCAAAGTGACTTGCGTCCCTTCAAAACGGTATTTGCGTTGAGACGCAGCAGCGTGAATGCTACCACATCGATTAGAAACTAGTTGGATATTATCGATCTTTGCAAGCCACTTCTCTTGAGTTAAATTAAGCTCGATGGGCCTAAATAAATCCCTCGACAGTTGCAACGACTTATTACGATGGCCCAGATCAAACACTTCAAATCCCTTGTGCGCAATAATGATGGAAGAATAAACAAAGTTAGAGATCCGAAACACATAAGTGGCCTCTAAGAATCCGATCGTCGCTTTTCAGCTCGAGGCTTCGGAATGAGAGTTGTGGGAGGAAAAACTGGCTCGGACGGTCGTATGTTCGCCTACATCGTGTGGACCGTTCCAGGAGGACCGGCTGAGAAAGCAGGACTGCAGCAGGGAGACAAGGTGCGTACCAACAGAATTTCTGATTTTCAAGGGTTGGCGAGCTTCGACTACGCCATCAGCCTTTTTCAAGGAAAGATATAGGAGCTCCAGGATAATTCCGTTAATGATTACAGATAATTTCTAGTGAAACGAGTGCGCTTGTGCCGCACCCACCTCAAATATCACTTATCATTTCGCGACTTGGATCTGAGATATCCGTTGAAATCCTGTAAAGTTGCCCTATAGACATTGCTGCAACTCTATGAATGAGTGAACCAATCGCCTCCCCTATAGCAATTGCAACGATAGGCTGTAAAAAAAAAAAAAAAAAAAAAAAAAAAAAAATAAACTTTTTTGTACCCTTAGCATCAAGCTGGCGATGGGAGATTTATCAGAATTTCCATAAATCCTTCAATTTCAGTGTAATCAGTTTAAAAGTCGGAACGTTACTGATTATTCAGGTGTTGGAATGGGCCGGGGTCTCCTTGATCGATCGCAGCTTCGAGGAGGTGGCGCAGATAATGGAACGGACTGGCGACATTGCCGAGCTCGTCGTCGAGCATGCAACCGACATGTAAGCTTTTTCGATATCGCATCTAATATGCCTCTATCATCCAGAGCTAGCGAAGCAAAGAGAATTTTGCTACGTAAGTACATATTGTATTTATAAACATCAATCCACGGGTTCTTTTACTTGCATAATGTAGAATTGGAGATTTGCTCGATGACCCGGGAATTATGGGAGCTAGCGGAAAGGCACCGACCAGCCTTGGATTGCAACTTGGTAAGTTATTTCAATCTGTGAACAAATTTACGTATAATTTCGTCGAAATTATTTTATGACAAATTTTCTCAATTTCTCAACGCATTATCGTTAAGACATGATTACATTTTTTTACTTCAACGAAAGTATGATCGGAAATTGCTGCTCCATTAAATTTTTCTGAAAGTAATACATTTATAAAATACTTATACATATGTATAAGTGTAGGAACAATGCACAATGGTGTTTTATATAAAATACTTACGTAGTTCGAAAGTCGACGTGTTTCTTGACGGAGGGGAATGGAGCTCTAGCCTAGCGATGACATTAATTTTTATGGTTCTCAATGGAGCGTCATTTTTTTCAGAAACAGAAACGGACAAAACGCCCTCGTCGCCGAACCGCAGAAAACTACCAAAAACACCGGTATAACCAGTTCAGTTATAAATTTATTTTACGCACTTTCTGCTCCCAATCGCCGCTTCTCCTCTCTCCTCTCTCCTTCTCTTATTCTTCGCCATCCGTATAATCAATCAGCTGCATCCACCCATACTTGCTATCCGTAAGTCTCTCTCTCTCTCTCTGCCGGGATACTCTACCCTTATCTCTGTCCATGTAATCCATTAGATTCAATTGAGTGGCTTTTAAAGCAAGGTCTACGGAGCATAAGTAAGATAAAACTCTAGACAATAACAAGAGTCGGAGAAAGATTTTTCCAGTTTGCAAAATCTATAGAGTATTATGTACTTAGCGATAAGAGAGGACGATGCTGGACTAAGTGACTTTTGAACGGATGTACAAGTGGCTGAGCAAATGGTAATAAGTCTAAAGGTGTGAATGTCTCATTGAAAAGTCGAATGACTAGACGAACGGGCTAACGAATAAATGGATAAAGGTATATAAATGCATAAATGGATAAATGGATAAATGGTTAAACGGACAAACGGATAACCGGATAAATAATAGCGAGTCAAAGAATACGGTCACGCGCGATAGGAAAACCTGGCTCGATGCAGCCATCAGACAATCGATAATGCGTATTAGATTAGTCTAGCTAGAAATAGGTAGTACACTAGCGAATGCGATGACAAAACAGATGGGTTCGAAGGAGACGGTGGAGAGCAAAGAAGAGCAAGCAAGAGCAGAAAAGTGAGGGACACAAATAGTCTTGATACAATAGTGTTCCTTGCTTCGGAGGTTAGGAGGACAAAATTCCCAAGACTTTCTCTCACTTTTCTCACTCAATACGGCATGATACAATATGATGCATATCATTCGTAGATCGTAGTCGATCTTGGCGCAGAGCGTTGCGTATAAATGCCAATTGGGCAAGAAACACTAAAAGCGATCTGCAATCACGCTTCAGTCTCGATTAATAGTAATTTTTATAATTCCTGATAATTTACCAGTAATACCCGAGTTCGCGACAAGTGTTTCTCTTTCGCGAGCCTGTATAATTGATTTTGAGATAAAAATTCGAGTCTACTTCTATATTGTAAGTGGAATTGATATCGCCCCGTTTATGTAAGACCTTTAATATCTATACTTACAATTAGTTTTTCTCACGTCAGAACTTTTAGTCCGTACGTTTACTCTTACTCTCGTAAAATCTCTTTGCCACTTTCTAGCCATTCTACAGCTATGATGTATCTATTAAATCTAATTGTTATACATATATATTGTATACGAATAACGTTACTCCTAGCACCATTCCTATTGCTTATCAATAGTATAGTATAGTTGAAATAGAATTGTGCGTGAGAGCGAGTGTGCTATAGGTATGCATGAGGTAGACACGTTACGATAACAATTTATAATACCGATTGGCATGCGACATCGGAAAATATAATAGATTGCGTTAACAGCGTGTTCATAGGAAGATGGTGGCAGAGACAAGCATTTTGAAATTTCCGTGTTTTCCTAAATTAGCAAAAAGCTCTCAATGTGTCGACAATCCGCTTCGACGAACCATCATTTCCTGTCTTAGGTCTCGTCCTCTTCCCTTCTTCCCTTCTTCCCTTTTTCCCTTCTTCCTATTACTTTATAATTTGCGCTGTGCCTAATGTGTTACACTGTAATATATAATACAATACATACGTATACTAAAAACAATCTGCGACTGAAAGCTTTAACCCGACTGCCTAGAAATACTTGTATGTACATACACTTTGAAACGCATCTTCCAGTGTCCCGCAGGATCAATTCCTCTGGCTCGAGTTCATTTGAGTCTCATTGGCGATTCGCGCTCCCATAAAGTTAGTAGCTGAGGCCAGGTTAGAAAACACACACACACACACACACACACACACACATGCGTCATTAGCCAACCAAACTTTTGTTGAGACAAGAAATGCTGAAAAATGGAGGAAAGACGCAATCGATAATTAGCTGAGGCCAGGTTAGAAAACTGAAACGCATCTTCCAGTGTCCCGCAGGATCAATTCCTCTGGCTCGAGTTCATTTGAGTCTCATTGGCGATTCGCGCTCCCATAAAGTTAGTAGCTGAGGCCAGGTTAGAAAACACACACACACACACACACACACACACACATGCGTCATTAGCCAACCAAACTTTTGTTGAGACAAGAAATGCTGAAAAATGGAGGAAAGACGCAATCGATAATTCGAACTTTGAAACGCAACGATAATCCGTAATGCGTTGCCGTATTATATCGTCTATCCTTCGGATCTTCTTCCTTTCTTGATCTCTCTGCTTGCCAAGCTTGCAAATTCTCAAGCTTCCAATGACTTCCATAGAATTACCTCTACTTGCCAATAACACTGTACATGCCTACTTTGTTTCATATTCTTATGACCAAAAATTGAATACTGAGAATCAATCAAGTGCTATTTACATGTACGTATAGCTACTCGGAATGTTCACTGTTTCGTAAAAAGTATATGACACTTTCGAGGAACGGAAAGAAGAAATGCATGAGAGAGATAGAGAGAGAGAGAGACACAGCTTGCTTTCCTTCGGACAATGTTCTCGATATTTTGAACTAGGCTATTCGAGAGGAAGGACGATAAGCGAAGAAAAAGATAACGGAGCTTATAAGATTCGGTTGGTCAGTCTGCATTTCCATTGTTCGCTGAATTATATCGCGTTCTGTCGTTATTCTCCAAATTTGGATTATTGCAAACATATCTCGTGTCAGATCAATCGAAAAAGAGAGTCTAAGGAAAGAGAGGGCGAGTAAACTCAAAGTGAAATCGTCGAGAGCGATTCGATAATATTCGTGTCGAGCGAAGATCAATAAAGCACACGGTTTCCGCGCATGCGATCACTAATCACTAATGACTAATCAGTAATCAGTAATCGGTAATCAGCAATGAGAATACTCTTGTAGAAGGAAGAATGCTTCAACAAACTGGATGGTCGTTCCCTCCTGTCCTGCCGAGTGTTCCTTTCCAGATAGGAAACCCTCTGAACCCTTTCCGGTTAAATGCCGGAGCTAATATCTCGTGACCTCGCCGGAAAGGGTGTTTCCCGTTTCTTCCAGACACTCTTAGAATAGTCGATAATCAACGAGTTGCTGGAATGTTAGATCTAATATTAAATGAAGAAAGAAAGCCTCAAGTGTATTTCTGGATGTAACTTGGGAATAAATATACGCAAGAATGTAATATACGTAATTTCTTGATAACGGGATTTTCTGGTAAAACGACTGAACGATCAATCTTTATGTCAATATTCCCACGAAAGCTCGGCCTTTCGTTAGACTTTTGTCTGGAGTGCACGCAGCACGTGCGATGCAGCATCCGTCAACAACCACAGCCTTTTCGCCCGACACGTCTCTGAGGTCTCTCGTTACTACACTTTGGTTCACTTATCTGTGCCCATCTGTCCGTCCCTTTATATTCTGTTTATCCGGCCACCAGATCCATGCAAGTTTAGTAGCTTTGTCATCCAGTGAAACCGCGAGTCGCAACCGTCTACGTTGGGCGCGTGCATCGAACGACGCGCGCTTAAGAAAGAGGAACACTCAAAAGTCTCTGGCGATTCTCAAAAGCGAAAGTCATGTAAGTTGCAGCGCAATACCAATATGGATTCGCCCGAGTTGCGTCATCCCCTAATTATCAGCTCTCCATTGATCACTCTTTTCGCTATTTTCGCTATTTTCGCTATTTTCGCTATTTTCGCTATTTTCGCTACTTTCGCTATTTTCGCTATTTTCGCTATTTTCGCTCTTCATTGAACCAATCCTCCATCCTTCTCATTACTTTCCTCCATTCTCGTCCTTTGGCTTTATGTTTTCTTTTTATCAGTTGTCTCTGTTTCCTCCACTTGGGGAGCCCCCGGCCCTCACGTAACTGAGGTCGCGGTCAGTCAAGTGCCAGTCTGGCCAATGAGCGAAGCACGTGCGCCTACGGAGACTTCCTATTTAAGCGCTTTAACCAATGAATCTTATAACTCTGACACCAGCTAGCTTACAATTAAACGTGAATAGAACAAATTTAAAGATGAGAACGAGTCTCGCCATTTCCCGACAAGTAAGTAGAACTTTACTAGCTTCCCCTCTTTCTATCTGTTAGCGCCCGTTCTATCCACTGCTGACACATTCAATAAGAAAGTGAAATGAAAGATTTAATGAAGGCAAACGCGTCGCGCGTTCTTCTGGGCACAAGCCCGCAATGGAAGTTAAAAGGGCAAAAAGTCAGAGCAGCATCGGCCTACTGAATATCCACAACACCGCCGTCACGCACGTCATCACCCTGACACGTGATCACCAGCCAGACTCTGCTTGCATCGTTCTCCTGATCATCATAGCGACAACACCAGCGTCATCGGCTCTCACTTGACCCATTATCTAATTTCTTTCCTATCCAATGAGATTTGGCTTTGCGATCAATCGTTAAAGATCAATCGTTAAAGGGCATCGCTGAGCGCGAATAGGTTGGCGCAAATGAGGATGACGTTAGATCGACTAATGAATAAATATAATTGTAGAAATATTTTAAGAATTGAAGATTTACGAAAGATAGGCTATACCTAGCTCGTAGGACGTAACAGCAGCGGATGGAAGGAGAGAGGAGGCCTTAAAGAAAACAAAAAAAAAGGTATAAAGAGCTTCGCTAGAAGTTGTACGATGGGATTTCAGGAACAAATCGCAAAAGAGAGGCAGGTGTCCGGACGCGTGCAAATTCAAGTTTGGTACGAGGCCGAGCGAAAGGAATTGGTCGTCTCCCTATTGGCGGCGGACGAGCTCTGCGCTCGCGAGGACACCGGATACGGAACTGCCCCGGAGGCATATGCAAAACTCGTCCTCGTACCACCTTGGTAAGTCAATTGGAAGTCAATTGGAAGTCAATTGGAATTAACAAGGAGGAAGCAAAGTGAGGAGAAGAAAAGAGAAGAAAAGGAAAAATGTTGATTGATTACAGTGGGGGAGAGCAAAGTTCTTTGAAAACGGACGTGGCGGAGCCAACGCAAAATCCAATTTGGAACGCCACACTGAACTTTTGTGGTGTTGCCGGCGATGAGCTGATGGACCGCAGCATCGAGGTCACCCTCTGGGATTACTGTCCTGACCGGGACAGCGTATTCCTAGGAGAGTGTACGGTCGAACTGCAGAAGGCTTTCTTGGACGATCGAGCAGTCTGGCAAGTATACGTTGCTGCGCGACGACGTGCTGACGGGTGGGACCAAGCAGGTCGGCGGAAGGACGAATCTGAAGAATCCGAAGAATCCGACGTGTCTCCGTCCAATGTTCCAGGTATCGGCTGGAAGATCCACGAGGTCTGCGATACGGGAAGTCACCACATTGCTCGCCACGCGGTTCACTATCAACGGAGATAGCGCAGCGCCTCCTCCGCAAAAGCGAACTGCGGGAACGCAGCTTCAGCGACGACACGCAAAGTGACTCGGGAAGTCCTGAGCCGTGTTTTCTCCATCCGGATCATGCTTGGCATGCTGGTTCAAGACGTGGTTCCAGCCAATCGGAACAGCTCGAAGTCGAGCCTTACGAGCTTAACAAGGACTACAGTCGGTCTCTGCCAGGCAGCCGGCGCAGCAGCTTCCAAAGCCAAACGGGTAACGGATGTGGAAACGGTACCGGAACGGATAGCAAACGTAGGTCTTACGCTCTTCGGCTCGGTGTCCTTCTCCAAAGGCGAGCTCGAACACGAGAGCCTGAGCAGCTAGCTTATGGCACGTGCTCGAGCTTACTTCTAATTCATTTGATTTCAGGCGGCAGTGTGGGAGGAGACACGGATGGGGCAGTCGTCCATTACAATCGGGAGCGAAGACGAAGCTCTTGCGCTCGAGGATTGCGAGACCCGGACGAAATTTTGCGTTCCTTGAAGGCGGTCAAAGGCGAACTCGGCAGAACCATGAGCCTTTCTTCCTCCGCGTCCTCGGAGAAGCGACGCGGCAGTCGTAAGTTTTCTCGCTTCCATCCTTCCTCATTTCTCCATTTGCTCGGTTGCGCGCTCACCAGCCATCGCTCTGACACGTCTCCTATTCTGAACACGCAAACACGCAACTTTCTCAGTGTATACATTTATCATTATCCACAAATATTCTTACACACTCTCAAAATACTTTTCTGCTTTTATATCTCATTGTCGTATACATATTATACATATTATACATATTATACATATTATACATACATATACCTACATGCCTCTCAGTTAGCTCGGTTACCTCCTCCTCCTATTATCTTTTACATCATTTTCTTAACTTCTCTTTGCGTTATCCGTCTTCCATCTCCCTCCTCCTTCTATCTGTTGCTCCGTCTTCATTTACCTATATGCGTGTGCTCGCATTTTCTCAATCCAACCCGCTTAACATGGTTTGACCGAGCGAAATATTCTAATTCCTTTCGTTTCGTGAGGCGACGCGTCCCCCGACGACTGTTAAAAGCCGGGAAAAGCAGCGCTCTTCGACGAGCAATCAGCAGCTACGACAGCGCGACTCTTGAGACACATGCGACTTTAGTCCCTGTTCGCTGCGCTCTGACGAAATTCAATTTCAAAGAAACCAGAAAACCAGACAGACAGCCAAACAGCCAAACAGGACAGACGGATAGGTAACCCCAGGTGCTCGTGGTCGTTCGGCTGACCAGATAAACCGAAAATTATAAAACTTTGTCGCATGTAACACGGCAGCACGTCCTTCGATGGCTTCCACGCGTTCGACCAGAAAGAGCTTTGTACGTACTCCTACGTACGTATCTACCTCTGAAGCTTCACTTACACTTGAAATTAAACGTCAACGCAGCGACATCGCGATCCTTGTCCTTGGTTTCTTTCATCGATCGCAAACCCGAATATATCACGAGGTCTGCGTTCGCTCGCTCGAATTGGTAACTGCCATCACACTGTCACTACCTATTCATGCCACTCCCATCACCACCACCACCACCACCACCACCACCACCACCACCATCATCAACGTGACTAGCAATTGTCAATACGCGGAGAATGCTGATTCGCTGGTGCGATCAACAGAGTGCATAGTCCCAACAGTAACCGTGTGGCAGTGCGAACCTGCAGTGCATCCGAGGGGCGCTAATTCAACCTCCTTCCCACTACCGCACTCCACACGATCACCCCAATAAATCGCGCAACTCTTCACTCTTCAGAGCCGATAGGCATCTCTTCTTCTCCGGTAAGATCACTTTCTCTTCTTCTCTATTCCCACCTCCCGTCATTTTCGCCTACTCCCCCACCCTCTCTCTCTCTCTCTCTCTCTCTCTCTCTCTCTCTCTCTCTCTCGCTCGCTCGCTCGCTCGCTCGCTCGCTCTCTTCCAACCAAGAACAGTACGCTAACCAGCCAGCACTTATTGTCGCATATATAGAGAATAACCGCTTATCTTGTGAAATCCTTGATATTCCTAATGCTGGATCAATCGCTATGGTGAGAATAACTGCTTTCATACTTTTGGCTATGATCTACTAATTGTAAGCCTAGACTAACTTGTCTAGATTTCGAGGTACTCTGCGTCCACTTGCAATAGAATGCAATGAAGCGAGAGAGTATCGCATCAAGTGGACGCAGCCACACGCCGGTTTATTCTTGATAAACAAGAAACGATTCAAGGATATGAAAGAAATATAAGATATATATCTTTAGTGGCTATCAGCTTGAGAAATTAATAATTAACTTTGCATGAAAAATTAACTACAATATATCTGTGTGCTAATACCACCCTATCCTACTGCATTTCATAATACAGTTTATACATGAGCTCTGAAATATCCCTTACGACAAGCAGCCAGAAAAGCTGCAAATACATATAATTTTTAAGAAAATTAATTTGGAGAAGTGCTCGATTCATACTTCGCATTAGCCTAGGACTAGTAGCAACGAAATGATAGTCTTGCGATACAACGGAACCTCTGCCGTTTCATTGACTTGGGGCCAAAAGGGGCTTATTTTTACGGGCAACGAAAGAGCCATCCGACAGTCATCATTCGTCGTGACACGATTCTAACCGCTCGCCGTTCTTGCACTCTATGGTTATCGATGCAATTATGCTTGTAAACAGAACCGATCTGGTGGACCTTTGTCTCTGATTACTCATGAGTCAGACCTCATGAGCTGCGGGTTTATCGTTAGTTGCGTCAAGCATAATAATTGCACTGCGCAGCATCTAACGTCAAGAGAACCAACTTCATTTCTTTCTTTTTTACATTCTACTTAGACGAAATAAGAAGTATGAGAACTAAAAGATTTAAGTTACATTCTTCAAAATTAGACTTTCAATTTTTACACTAGAATTCCCCATGAATTTAACGATAAAGCGAGTGTCCGACAAGTTTCTCAAGATTCTCTTGAGTTATTTATGCTGAAAGAAGGTGAAAAAAAAGATATGAATTTAAGGGTG